AATAATCTTCCTGTCTCAACTGCCTCTCCACTCTACCCCCCCCCCCCAAAAAAAAAAACAACAACAACAGACTGGCAATGTGACTTAGTGGCAGAGTGCTTGCCTAGCATGCATGAAGCCCTGGGTTTGATTCTTCAGTACCACATCAACAGAAAAAGCCAGAAGTGGTGCTGTGGCTCAAGTGGTAGAATGTTAGCCTTGAGCAAAAGCAGCTCAGGGACAGTGTCTAGGTCGTTAGTGCAAGCCCCACGACTGGCAGAGAAAAACACCCTTCTCAGCCAACTAGAAATAAAAAGGAATTTCTATTTAGAAAGCATAAAGGTAATGGGGCACGGGTAGCTCACGCCTGTAATCCTAGCTACTCAGGAAGCTGAGATCTGAGGATCGCGGTTCAAAGCCAGCCTGGGCAGTAAAGTTTTTGGGATTCTCCAAATAAAACTACCAAAATAGCTGGGAGTGGAGCTCAAGTAGTAGAGTGCTAGCCTTGATGAAAATGAAATTCAGAAAGAACACCCAGGCCACAAGTCCAACCAGGACCAGCACTCATGCACACGTGTGTACACACACACACACAAGCTAAGGTTTAACATTTTTTTTTTTGTTGGTCATGGGACTTGAACTCTGGGCCTGGACGCTGTCCCTCAACTCTTCAGCTCATAGCGCTCTACCACTGGAGCCACGGTGCCACTTGCAGCTTTTTCTGTTTATATGGTGCTGAGGAATCAAACCCAAGGCCTCATGCATGCAAGGCAAGCACTCTACCACTGAGCCACCTTCCCAGCCCCAGGCTTAATATCTTTAATAGTGAAAAGAATGAATGAATTTCTGGAAGAACTGGAGCACAGCAGGTAGGTCTGTCTCCTCTCCCTTCAAAGCACTAACCCACCAACTAACAAAAAACTAACCCCAAATCAAACCTAACCAAGCCAAAACTACTACTCCTGTTATCTCCTCGAGAAATTCAGACATATGTTCACAGAGACATGTTCATGAATGTTCAGGTTTGGGGCAATTGAGGGGGTCACTCTCTCTTGGGTTCTTGGGGGGGGGGTGCCCCTCTGCCTGTTGAGCAGCGCCCATGAGGGTGAGGGCAGTGGGCGAGAGGGATGAGATGGACACTAGGGTCTGCTGCTACTTTGCTTGAGCAGGACAAGATGACACCTTGGCCCCCAGGCTCCCCATCTGGAAGCCCCAATGGGACGTGGGAAAGAGAACTCCGGTATCTCCCGGCCAGGCCCAAGCCTGTCCTCGGCGGCTGCAACCTCTCATCGTGGGAAACCAGGACGCGAGTTAAAGCGGGCCCGACTAGGGCAAAGATGAGCCTGGATGGCTTCGAAGGCCCGCCCCTGAGGAGATGGAATCGGCGACGGGGCTGGAGGGACAGATCCGCGCAGCGCAGCAGGCGGCCCCGACACCCGGTACCTGGTGCTGGAGTTAGCGAGCAGTACCGACCCAGTCTTGGCTCCGCCTCCTCAATTTTGTGGCCGCGCCGCCGCCAGGCCGGTTGCTGGGAGGGACGTACGCAGCGTGACATGCGCAGTGATGGGACCCTGCACGCTCCGCCCCACCCACCAGCAGACCCCGCCCTCCTGTCCGGTCCTAAGGATAAGACGTCATCTTGGCTCGCGCAGGCGCAGAATCTCAGCAGGCCTCAAGTCTAGTACCTGGCGCCTTGAACTTCGGACGCTGCTGCGGGGAGAGTCGTTTTCTGCTACTGTTGCCGGTCTCAGCTTTGCGTCTACCTTTGGGCATTCCTTCTTTTGATGGGTGCTGGTTCCCTGTCCCTGCTGCGGCCTACAGGGTTCAAAAGTTCCCGGAGCCGCCACCCCTCTGAAGAAAGGGAATTAAGAGTAAATTTCAGGGGCTGGGAAGGTGGCTCAGTGGTAGAGCGCTTGCCTTGCATGCCAGAGGCCCTGGGTTCGATTCCTCAGCACCACATAAGCAAAAAGAAAAAAGCCGGAAGTGGCGCTGTGGCTCAAGTGGTAGAGCGCTAGCCTTTAGCTGAAGAGCTGAGGGACAGCACCCAGGCCCAGAGTTCAGGCCCCATGACCGGACCCAAAAAAAAAAAAAAAGAGTAAATTTCAATAAAGGGTCGAGGGCTGAGCCTAAAGCTCAAGTGATGCAGGCTGGTCTAGCAAGCCTAAGGCCTTGGGTCCAACCCCAGGTAGCCAGGGTACCGCAAAAACAAAACCACAAAACACCTCTCAATCGTTAAGGGTCGAAGAGACTGAAGCATACCAACTCAACAGACATGGAGATATTTAGGATCTTTTTCTCTCTATATATCCTAGGCTGGCCTCAAATTTGTGATCCTCCATCCTCCTGCCTACCCTTATTGTGATGACAAGTCTGCATCACCACACCATGTTGCAGTAGTTTTTTTGGTGACTTACTCAGCTTGCATGAAAGTTCCAAAAGTGGATTTATCAAGTTAAAAAAAAAAAGTTTTCTCCAGCTCTGACTTCGACACAGATTTCTACTGCCCTAGCTTCCAAGATGAGGAAGGAGTTCAGCTACATCCAAATAGGGAATGATCAAATGAGGCTGCTGAAACTATTTGTATTTTGCTATAAATTGGTCAGTACTTGACCAACCTCATTCTATTTTATTCACAACACTGATCTTCCCTACTGCTTTAACATTCTAAAATACTGCCTCAAATTTTCTCATTCTCAAAACAAGATGCCTCAGCAGCAAGAGTAAATTCACAAAGCAAGGTTGATTACAGCAGAAACCACAAATATGCTAGTTCTTTGAAATTGAGAGAAGGCTGTGCTTGAAATTGCCTAACTTCTTACATGCATTACAAAGCGGCATTTAAATATGGAGGTACTTTGAATCTGTCCAGTATGTAGTAGGGCAGTAGCTAAAGCATTTTATGTGTGTGCGCCAGTCCTGGGGCAGGAACTCAGGGCCTGGGTACTGTCCCTGAGCTTCTTTTGCTCAAGGGCACTCTACCACTTGAACCACAGCACCACTTCAAGACTTTTCTGCTTATGTGGTACTAAGGAATGGAACCCAGAGTTTTTTTTTTTGTTTTTTTTTTTTGCCGGTTGTGGGGCCTGAATTGTGGACCTGGGCACCATCCCTTAGCTTTTCAGTTCAAGGCTAGCACTCTACCACTTGAGCCACAGCACCACTTCTGGCTTTTTCTGCTTATGTGGTGCTGAGGAATCAAACTCAGGGCCTCATGCATGCAAGGCAAGCACTCTATCACTAAGCCACATTTCCAGCCCTGCGTGAGACTCTTAAAAAAAAAAAAATCAATCAAAAAAAGCCAGAAGTGGTGCTGTGGCTCAAGTGGCAGAACATTAGTGTTGAGCACAAACAGGCTTAGGGGCAGCACCCAGGCAGAGTTCAAGCTCAGAACCGGGAGGTGGGTGGGGGGGAAATATTAGGAAAGTACCTCGGTATCTGTCCACATGTACTTGAGAGTGAGAGGTTTTCCTTTATTACTAGAAAAGCTTTACTACTTTATATTGATTATTCCAGGCAATCTGTCACAGCAACAGGAAGATGACTGATACCAGGAGTGTAGGAAGGAGCTCATTAACAGCATGGAGCCAGATGTAGTGGTATATACCATTATCTCTGAATTTAGGAGGCTGAGGCACAGGGATTGTGAGTGTGAGGCCAGCAAAACAGAACATATGGGCGGTAGGGGTGTGTGTGTCTAAGAATATAAAGCACCCTAAAGTGGTAAATGGTGACAACAAAGGGAAATTCAAGGTAAACTTTTCTTAACAAAAACATTTCAGTGCTAATTTTTACTGGTCTGAAAGAACTTTCCTATAGGTGTATACTGATGTAGGACAATTCCATAAAAGTCCAGGCGACACTCTGAGATTTTGTCAATCAGTTTAATATATGTCCATAGGTAGTTCATATGAACGTTTATATTACAAAATTAGCTGCCATGGTCCAAATGTGTGGGACTTTAAGAAAGTTTATATTACTCAAGAGATAGATAAGCACATCATCTTTGATTTGAAGGTTTGTAAAACAAGATTAAGTCTAAAATTATATAGCATTAATTATATTTGTGTTGTCATTTTAGTAACTTTAGATCTGTGAGCTGTTAAGAACATTATATCCACATTTCCCAGTTTACATACTTCTGTATGAACCTAGAGGGCACTCAGGTGACACATTACCATGCAGTTACAAGGGCAGCAGCTGTTTTCATAGCAACTCACTGTTACTGCCTCAGAACAGACCTGCACATAAAGCATCAACAAAAACCCCACCACCCCACTCCCATCAAAACCCAACCCTTTCTCATTCCCACAAAAATTACCTGGTACAAGCAGTAACTTAAAAAAAAAAAAAATGCTTTCTCAGTAAGAAGCATTTATAAAATGCAGAAATCTGAACAAGCCAAATGCTTGTGCAGATATATAGGTCTCTCCCCCAAGAGTTTCTTCCTCAAAAGGCAGAACTCTCAAAAGTTTAGGAAAGCTCATTTTTTAAAAAAAAAAAAAGCAGATATATGCATATCAATGACTATTTCTTTGAAAGAAAATACCCAGCCTCAACTGCAGAAGAAATAAAAACAGAGAGAGAAGCAAAGGTACAAGGCCGTAACAGATTAGAGCCCCCAAGAACATTCAGTAAGCTGTAGCAGCTAAGAAGAAAAAATACTTCTGACCTCACAGAGACCAATGACCTGATTCTGATCTGACCTAGCTGAAGTAGTTGTTAATTGTTCATGCATTTGTTACTCAAAAAAATAAACATACAACCACTAAAAAAAATTCAGCATTCACATTGACATCAGCTCATAGTGTCTGGTAAGGAGAAAACTTTGTTCCTATATTATCTATCCTTAGAATTTTCCACATATGTGTAAGTATCCTAATAACTCAGGTTTCCTATAATACTGTCATCAGTGCATCCCTCCTATAAAACATATACTGTATTATGTTTTGAATTCTTGAAATTTCATTATCACATAGTGTTCTAAATTTTACATTTTCACACGTTTAATGTAGACACAGGAGAAAACACCAAGCAATATTTATTGTGTAATTCCAATAGTTATTTGCAAAATCTTGGTTTAGAGTCAGCCTCCATAGCTTTTCAACTGCCCAGTTTAAACACAAAGTAACAACCTAATTAGCTACCTATAAATTTCATGATAGTTTTTCAAACATCAAAGTACTAAAAGCACTGATAATTCATTTATAATTTAAAAAATATGTTAAAACTACATATATATTTATATATCATTCCTTTTATAAAATAATCAAAATAATTTGATTGCCTGAAGAAAATTACTGAAACAGAGCCCTTTCAATGTGTTTACAACCTCTGAAAAACTCCAAACCAAGAGTATAATAGTTGATGAAATAAGGATTTCTCAGTCACCAAGATTATGTCAATTTTAAGATGAGAAGTGGTCTCCTGTTTTTTGTTTCCTATGAACTCAGAGCTTAGGGGTAAGCATTAAGGACTCAGATCCCTGGGATGATTTTACATCGCTTTGACTTTGATTTGTTTCATTTTCATTTGCTTCTTCTCCAATTTCTTTTGCTCTCGTCTCAAAGCAGCTTCCTGAGAGGGGGAGAAGAGAAGAGAATCCAAAGTAAGCTCTAAGCACATGTTCAAAACAGGGAGGGGACAATATGTAATAGTGATATAGAGGGTTGATTCAATCAAAATACATTATATGCACGTGGCAAAATCACAATGAAACCTCTTTTTACAATTAATATACTCTAATAAAAAGAAAAAAACTCAAAACTTAAACAATAATTGCCAGTATTGGTGAATAACCTTTTTTTTGGGGGGGGGGGGGGTGTCCAGTCGTGGGGCCTGAACTCTGGGCCTGGACACTATCCCTCAGCTCTTCAGCTCAAGGCTCTACCACTTGAGCCACAGCGCCACTTCCAGCTTTTTTCTTTTTGCTTATGTGGTGCTCAGGAATTGAACCCAGGGCCTCAGGCATGCAAGGCAAGTGCTCTACCACTGAGCCACCTTCCCGGCCCGTGAATAACATTTTTTAAAAAACTGTAGAACACTGTTTATAAGATGATCTACAGGGCTGGGAAGGTGGCTCAGTGGTAGAGTGCTTGCCTTGCATGCCTGAGGCCCTGGGTTCAATTCCTGAGCACCACATAAGCAAAAAGAAAAAAGCCGGAAGTGGCGCTGTGGCTCAAGTGGTAGAGCGCTAGCCTTGAGCTGAAGGACAGTGGCCAGGCCCAGAGTTCAGGCCCCACGACCGGACCCAAAAAAAAAAAAAAGATGATCTACATTAAGAAAAGAGATACATTTATTTGGTATATAGACAGGTATAGACAGACAAGTAAGACAGATGCAGAACTATATAAAATGTGAACAAGTGGTCACCTCTGGTGATAAAGGACTTTGTTAGAATGACTGTTATTTTTTTACATGATAATTAACTCCTGTGTACGTATTTTCTCCTTATTTCTTCAAATTAAATATATAAGAAAACAAACAAATAATGGCAGGGAGTTCGATCTCATTGTATAAAAGAGCCCTTCAAGTCAGAAAATAACTTGCTTTTTTAGTTGTTTTTTTTTCCCCCCTAAATGCTCACTGGGCCTTCTCATAAGATTCCCTAGTCAGATACTATAAAGTGGTAGTTCTGAAAAGAAAGTTTACATTCACAAGATGCTCAGGCTGGGTGCCAGTGGCTTTTATCTATAACCCTAACTTTAGGAGGCTGAGATCTAAGAATCAAAGTTTAAAGCTAACCTAGGTAGACAAATCTGAAACTTGTATGCACGTGTATACACCAGTACTGGGGCTTGAACTCACCTTTTTCCAAAATTCAAGGCTAGCACTCCACCACTTGAGCCACAGCTCCACTTTTATCTCTCTTTTTTTTTTTTTTTCTTTTTCTTCTTCTTTTTTTTTTTTATTGTAAAGCTACTATACAGAGGGTTACAGTTACATGAGTGAGGTTATGAGTACACTTCCTCTTGAACATTGTTACCCCCTCCATTGTTTTCCCCCTACCATCCCCTCCCTCCCTCCCTTCCCCGAGGTTCTTTTTTTTTTATTGTGATTAAATGATTACATAATTTCAAAGTCACAAGTTCATTCTAACTTCCCTGGAGCAAACTGTCTACCACAGTCTGTAATATATAACAGTGTTCACATGTTATATACCATATTTGTGATCAGCAGCATGGGGATATTTAGTAGTGGTTCAACCAGATGAGCAGGAGTTCTTTGTTTCTTAAGTCCTGTTAGTTTTGTCGTTTCACCTAACCTTTAGCATCCACTTATCAGGGAGACCATGTACCGTTTGTCTCTTCGTTCTTGGCTTACCTCGCTCAACATGATTCCTTCTAGCTCCATCCATTTCCCTGCAAATGCCATTATTTTGTCATTTCTAATGGCTGCATAATATTCCATTGTGTATAGATACCACAATTTTTGGATCCATTCATCTGTGGTGGGGCACCTAGGTTGTTTCCATATCCTAGCTATTGCGAACAGTGCTGCAATAAACATGGAGGTGCACGTGTCCTTGTATATTGGTTCCTGTTGTTCAGGGTAGATACCTAGAAGTGGTATGACTGGGTCGTAAGGGAGGTCAATCTTTAGCTTTCTAAGGACCCTCCAGACTGCTTTCCAAAGTGGTTGTATAAGTGTACATTCCCACCAGCAGTGTAATAGGGTTCCTCTTTCTCCACATCCCCTCCAGCATTTGTCGTTGGCTGATTTGTGGATGTGGGACATTCTGACTGGGGTAAGGTGGTATCTCAGGGTTGTCTTTATTTACATTTCCTTCACCACCAGGGATGATGAACATTTCCTCATGTGTTTCTTTGCCATTTTTATTTCTTCATTTGAGAAGTCCCTCTTTAGTTCCCTTGCCCATTTAGTAATTGGTTTGTTAGGTTTGGGAGGGATTAGTTTCTTGAGTTCCCTGTATATACAGGATGTTAACCCCTTGTCTGATATATTGCTGGTAAATATTTTTTCCCAATTAGTTGGTTGTCTTTCTAGCTTAGTTGCGATAGATTTAGCTGTGCAGAAGCTTTTTATTTTAAGGTAGTCCCATTTGTCGAGTCTCTCTCCAACTTGTTGTGACCCTGGGACTCTGTTCAGGAAGTTCCTTCCTGTGCCTATTAGTTCAAGTGTCTCTCCTACTCTGTCCTGTAGTAGTTTCAGAGATTCAGGTTTAATGTTAAGGTCTTTAATCCATTTTGAGTTGATGTTGGTGCATGGTGATAGGCTGGGGTCCACTTTTAGTTTTCTGCATGTGGCTGCCCAGTTTTCCCAGCACCAGCGGTTGAAGAGGCTGTGTTTCTTCCATTGTATGTCTTTGGCTCCTTTGTCGAATATCAGCTGGCTGTAGGCCTGTGGACACTTTTATCTCTTTTAGTGGACAGATGGAGTAAAGAATCTCAACTTTTTTCCTGCCCAGGCTGGCTTCAAACTGTGATACTTAGATCTCAGCCTCCTGAGTAGCAAGGACTACAGGTGTGATCCAGCAGCACCCAGTTTTTTTTTTTCCTATCATCCTACTACTAAACTTTTAGGTTATATATATTCTCAAGTAGAATCACCTTGACAGCTGATACGAAGTCATAGTGGTAAGACAAACTTTAAGTTCCATCCCAGCAGTGAGGAGTTTGTCTTACCTCCAGCCTGCGCTGTTTCTCAGGATCTTCCTCATTCATGATCCGCTCCTTCTCTGCCCTTTTCTTCTCCTCACGCCGAGACTGCGCAGCTTCCTGTCTCTGCACATGTGTCAGTTTCAAGAAGTTCTCTTCCACTCTAGCACGGTTCTTATCTGCTTTTTGTTTGCCCTTTCCCAAAGAAACAAAGTCTTTCATAAGATAACCATTGCTATCCAATACAAGAAAATTTCACTTAGCATTTTCTCACAAAACTACGCCCATCTGGTACTGTCTAGTGGTAAAGATGCCATCACTGAAATCCTTGATAGCTGCTCCCCACTGAGAAAAAAAAAAAAACTGTAATAAAAGGTACTAGTCTGCAATAAAGGCTTTGAGTCTTACCTCTCTGTTGAGTCGGAACTTTTTGGCTTTATCAATAGAATAAATCACCATGTTCATCAGGGGTAGCAAAGCCTCCATATCCTTTGGGTAAGTGTTACCTGAGCCAGGTACTGAAAAACAAAGCCATTTTCCCACTGAGTTCATGGCAGCATTAACACTTCTGGGTAGAAAATTTTTAAAAATGCTAATAGATTTTTTTTTTAACAGTCCTAGGGCTTGAACTCAGGCCTGGGCACTGTCCTGAGCTTCTTTTGCTCAAGGCTAGCACTCTACCACTTGAGCCACAGTGCCACTTCCAGCTTTTTTTGTGTATGTGGTACTGAGGGATAGAACCCAGGGTTTCATGGATGCTACGCAAGCACTTTACCACTAAGCCACATTCCTAGCCCAACAGATTTCTTTTTCAAAGCTCTCAAGCAGTTAAAATGTGGTAGAAATAGAATGAAAAAATAAAAGTCTATCTCCTTGAAGACAATCAGAAATCAACAAGGTTTTATTTATTTATTTAATTTTTTGGGGGGGGTGGGGGGTCCGGTCATGGGGCCTGAACTCTGGGCCTGGGCGCTGCCCCTTAGCTCTTTGGCTCAAGGCTAGCGCACTACCACTTGAGCCACAGCGCCACTTCCGGCTTTTTTCTTTTTGCTTTATGTGGTGCTGAGGAATGGAACCCAGGGCCTCAGGCATGCAAGACAAATGCTCTACCACTGAGGCACCTTCCCAGCTCAAGGTATAAGGTTTTATATGCAGCATTTTTTTTTTTTTGGTCCTGGGGGCTTTAACTCTGGACCTGGGTGCTGCCCCTCAACTCTTCAGCTCAAGGCTAGTGCTCTACCACTTGAGCCACAGCATCACTTCCACTTTTCTGGTGGTTTATTGGATGTAAGAGTCTAAGGGGGCCTTTCCTGCCCACGCTGGCTTTGAACAGCGATCCTCTGATCTCAGCCTCCTGAATAGCTAGGATTATAGGCATGAGCCACCAGCACCCAGCCAAGAAGGGTATAATTTCCTAACTATAAAACTGCAATAAGCCAACCCAGGCAGGAAAGATCATGAGACTTTTATCCCCAATTAACCACCTGAAAACGAGAAATGGCACTGTGGCTTAAGTGACCAGAGTTCAAGCCCCCACGACTGACAGAAAAAAAAAAAAAGAGACTTACCATTAAATGTAAACAATAGTGTCCTCTTAGTGTCAGGTAGCTTTAAAGGCTGACCTTCCCTGTCATAAAAGAAAAATCTATTAAGAAGGAACATATGCCATTTTCCACACATACAAGTTATCCAATTCACTCAAATAATCAGCATCATATGTACCTTGGCACCCCCAATCAAATACAATCTCAGCACCTACAAGAGACTTAAGGACCTTTATCCTACACCTGAAGACCTCCAGTGATGTCTTCAACAGGCAGAATACATTCCATCTCACCTGCAGAGCCAGAAACGAGCCTGTATTTTAAAGTATGAGGCCCACAGATGGGTGTGTGTGTGTGTGTGTGTGTGTGTGTGTGTGTGTGTGTGTGTGTGTGTGTGTGTGTGTGTGTGTGTGTGTGTGTGTGTGTGTGTGTGTGTGTGTGTGTGTGTGTGTGTGTGTGTGTGTATGGTGATTATACTCAGGGCTTGGTTTACCACTTCAGCTTGCTTTTAGCTCATTTTTCAGATAGAGTCTTGTGCTAACTTTGCCAGATCTACTGTTGAACTTTGATATTCCTGTTTTACCTTTTCCAAATAGCTGAGACCATAGTCATATATTACCATACCCAACCAAGGCCTATATTTTAACAATTTTGCTTTTTTCGACTCCTATGATATCTTCCATTAATAAAACATCTCATTTTGGGGTTAGGTTCAAAATAAATTTTAAGGATGATTTAAATTTAAGGATAATTGACTCTTCATATTCAGAAGTTCTGCACCTGCCAAACCAACTATAGAAAATATTAGGGGAAAAAGCCTGCATCAATTATGAACATGTACAGTACAGATAATGTTTTTGTCTTTTTCCCTAAACGATACAGAATAACAACTACTGACATAGCATTCACCTTATCAGGTATTGTAAGTAAACACAGAGGCTTAACGAATAGAAAGAAGATATTCATAGATTATATATAATCCATTTTTATACACCATTTTATATTAGGGATGCAAGCATCCTGAGATTTTGGTAATCCTGGAGCCAATTCCCCTAACCCCTCAGGGATTTGGAGGAGCAATTATTAACAGATTCCTTTGTAATCACTGTCAATCACCCATTTCTCTTCCCAACAAAAAAAGCTTAGTGAGCTAGGTGCTGGTGGCTCACATATGGAATGCTAGCTACTCCAGAGGGCGAGAGTGAAAGGACTTGGTTCGAGGCTCAACCCAAAATAAACAGCACAAACTGGGTTGGGGGTATGGTTCAAGTAGAAGAGTCCCAGCTTCGCAAGCACAAGGAACTGAGTTGAAACCCGCCAAGGAAAAAAAATGAAAAGGAAAAAAAGGTCACTACTATACTGGGATACTTTGTCCCTAGTGTTGTTATCAACTTAAGCAAGGTAAGAATGATGTAATAACATCTAGATGGTAGGGATCAGAAACAGACAACTAAAGTCTAGAATGGATTCTTATCTTGCTGTTGTTGAGGAATGAACATAGGGCTTCCAGAATTGTATACAACTACACAGCCTATTAGAGTAACCTGTAACTAATAAGTTAGGTCATAACCAGTTCTATATCAAGAGTAAATTTAGGGGCTGGGAAGGTGGTTCAGTGATAGAGTGCTTGCCTTGAATGCATGAGGCCCTGGGTTTGATTCCTTAACACCAAAAAAACAAAAACAAAAACAAAAAGCTGGAAGTGGCACTGTGGCTCAAGTGGTAGAGCAATAGTCTTGAGCTGAAGAGCTGAGCGCCCAGGCCCAGAGTTTAAGCCCCGCCACTAACCAAAAAAAAAAAAAAAAAGGAGTAAATTTAATAATGTTCTCCTGAGATAAACTATGAATTCAAAGAATAAATCCAAACCTTGAATATATACTACTGAAAAAGTATTATTATGAAGCTAAAAACCACTATCTAATAATCTGCTGAAAAAATATAATCACGTAATTATTTAGAATCAAGCCAAAAAGGCTATAAATTATAAGCTATAAATACACAGATTTCTAGTCAAATACAAGTTCAATATGAACAGATTGTGTGTGTGTGTGTGTGTGTGTGTGTGTGTGTGTGTGTGTGTGTGTGTGTGTGTGTGTGTGTGTGTGTGTGTGTGTGTGTGTGTGTGTGTGTGTGTGTGTGTGTGTGTGTGTGTGTGTGTGTTGGTCATGGGTCTTGAATTCTGGGCCTGGGCACTGTCCCTGAGCTCTTCAGCTCCAGGTAAGTGCCAATTCAAGATTTCTGGTAGTTAATTGGAGATAACAGTCTTACATACTTTCCTGCCGGGACTGGCTTTGAACTGCAATCCTCAGATCTCAGTCTCCTGAGTAGCTAGGAAAAGAGGTGAGAGCCACCTGTGCCTGGCCAAACTGAATATTTTTAAAATGGAAAGGGAACTAGCAGTTGCACTTTCTTAGTATGAGCCATCCTGTGAGTTTCTCATACTATGTATGATAGATATGCAGCGATATATACAAGGTAGGGTAGGCTTGCTTGTCTTCTGTAGGCTTAAAATGACCATTCATGATGTACACAAAACAAAGGAAAGCTTGGAGACTACCACCAACTTCCTTTACTTATGTGGTAAGGGAAATTGCGGAAGCATCTTGTACTATTTCAACACAGAGCTAGTGGGGAAAAGAAATTTCAATATTTTTATCTCATACGTACTCTTGCATAATTTTTGGACCAGAGAACTGGTCTGAAAAATGAACGGATTCAATCTTGTCAGCATAGTGTGTAAGAAAATGAACCATCTGGAAAAAAAGAAAGATTTTTAAGTTTGATGCATTTTCCTTTTTTCCTAACAATATTCACCTTTTTACACTCCTTACTTTTGTAGGATGTCATTCAGATAAAAATGTTGAAAAATTACATTTAAATAAGAAATCTAAAATCAAACTAGTATCCTTCTTAAAACTAGTATAAGTCTTAAAACAACGCGTGAAGCCAGGCACCAGCAGGTCATACCTGTAATCATAGCTACTCAGGAGGCTGAGATCTACTAATCAACAGTATGAAGCAAGCCCAGGCATAAAGTCCATGAAACTCTTTTCTTCAATTTAAAAACCCGGAAGTGGTACTGTGGCTCAAGTGGCAGAGTACTAGCTTTGAGCAAAAAGCTCAGGGATAACACCCAGGTTCTAAATTCAAGCCCATGACCTGCACCAAAAAACCCCCAAAAAACAAGTAACAAAAAACTTGAAACAATGAAAAGAATGAAAATAAAATCATTGCTAGGAATGATAGCAGAAGCTATTAATCTCAACATTCCAGGTTCTCAGATAGAAGGATTTTGAGGACTGAAAGTTTCAGACTAGATGGAGCTACACAGCAAGCTTTTCTCTTAAAAACAAACAAAAACAAGCAAAGTTTTATAGATAAGAAATTATACCCTCCTTGGCCAGGTGCTGGTGGCTCACACCTGTAATCCTAGTTATTCAGAAGGCTGAGATGTGAGGATCGTGATTCAAAGCCAGCCTGGGTAAAAAAGTCTGTAAGATTCTATTTCCAATAAACCACTAGAATACCAGAAGTGGCACTGAAGCTCAAATGGTATAGTATTGGCCTTGAGCTGAAGAGCTCAGGGACAGTGCCCAGGCCCAGAGTTCAAGCCCCAAGACCACTAAAAAAAAAACCCACCCACCTCCCAAAAAAAACCCAAACAAACAAAGCAGAAACCAAGCAGGTGGCTTATGCCTGTTGTAATTCTAACTACTGGGGTGACAAATGGGATAATCAAGAATGTCAGGCCAGTCAGGTAAAAAGCAAGACCTGATCTCCAAGAACAAAATGGGTGTGCTAGTTCATGCCTATAATCCCAACGAGGTGAAAGGTGAAGGTAGGAGGATTATAGTGTGAGGCTAGTTCCCAGCAGAAACATAAGATTCTATCTGAAAAATAAAAGCAAAAAAGGCTGGGAGTCATAGCTCAAATACCAGAGCATGTGCCTACCAAGTTGGAAGTCCTAAATTCAAACCCTAGTTTATTTACCCTTCCCTTGAAGACAAATCAAAACAAAACAAAACAAAAAAGCTAAAATAATTTCAGATTTTTGTTGCTGTTGTTGCTGCTGCTACTACTAGAGCTTGAGCTCAGGGCTGCTTTTTGGTTCACAGTACTCTACCACTTGAGCTGTAGCTCCAGTTCTAGCTTTTTGCTATTTAATTGGAGGTAAGAGTCTTAAAAACTTTTCTACCTGGACTGGCTTCTAAACTTGATTCTTAGTCTCTTGAGGAGCTATGCTCCTGAATAGCTAGGATTATAGGCTTGAGTCACTGGCACCTAGCTTGTTTTTTCAAATAAAGGTTCTCTGAATTTCCCATGCTGGCTTCAAACTTGTATTCTTCCAGTCTTATCTCCTGGAGTAGCAGGGATTACAAACACGCATCAATGCACATGATTTAAATGTAAATATTTTTTTCTGTTATTATTATTATTATTGGCTATACTGGGGTTTGAACTCAGGGTGTTCTTTTTCTTTTTTGCCAGTCTTGAATTCAGGGCCTGGGCACTGTTCCTGTTTTTGCCCAAGGCTAGCACACTCTACCATTTGAGCCACAACACCATTTCTGGCTTTTTCTGTTTATGTGGTACTGAGGAATTGAACCCAGGGTTTCATGCATGCTAGGCAAGCACTCTACCACTAAGCCACATTCCCAGCCCAGGTGTTCTTTTTTTGTTTTGTTTTTGCCAGTTCTGGGGCTTGAACTCGGCCTGGCCACTGTCCCTGAGCTTCTTTTTGCTCAAGGCTAGCACTGTAGCACTTGAGCCACAATGCCATTTCTGGCCTTTTCTGTTTGTGTGGTACTGAGGAATCGAAACAAGGGCTTCATGCATGCTAGGCAAGCACTCTACCACTAAGCCACATTCCTAGCCCCTGCACATGGTTATTTTTTTGTGGTGCTGGATGGAGATTGAATCCAGGGCTTTCTGCCCGCTAAGCAAGCACTCTACCACGGAGCTTCCTCTCTGCCCTGGGTGTAACCTTTTTTGAAAATTTGTATTTACCTTTGTATCCATCATTCCCTCAGTGACTTCTCCCATCTCTGACAGGATGGCCAAAGAGTCTGGAAGTCCATACTTTGCTCCAGACTTAGGCTTATCACTACAAAACTCACTCTAGAGAAAGAAGAAATTAAGAATAAGATATAGCATGACATTTTATTATGCACAAATCTTTTTCCTTGAAATAATATGTACTGACCTATATCAAAGTAATGCTAACCAACATTTGTCAGATAGAATTGTCTTTTGCTAAGAAGTTGCATTATGTAATAAAATGGCAGTTTCTACACATATTTGAACTGAAATAACTTGACATACCAGATCCTGCATCTCTTTCTGTAGTCGTACCAAAGCTTTTCGTGTGCCAACAGCAAATACATAGGTATCCATGTCTTCATCATTCATAGTTACTTTTATTTGCTTCAAAAAACAAAGATGACAAAATTTACATATTGAGTTCTGTGGTAGGTAGATTTCTAAATGGCCTCCAAGGGACCTCCTTGTATATACAGTATCCCCTTGAGTAGGATTCAAGAACAAGATGGTATATCATCTCCACAATAATGTTATAAGGCAGAAGGTGGGAGGGCCTCAGATGCCAAGCTGTGAGACCCGAAAGGGTTAAAGAACTTGGAATGCCATCTTGGAATGATAAGGGCCAAGCTCAAGTAAGGTCAAAGGGTCTGTCAAGGCTGACAGAGCAAAAAGTTACTATCCCAAGTGTGTTTAAATTAGAACTGCTTGGACACTAAAAGCTTAAGGCCTTGGAGATAAGATGGATGTCTGTTTTACAGATGGAATGTTTTCTTGCTCTCTTCTGCTCCCTAATGATAAGGTAGTCAATTATTTCTTTCTTTCTTTTTTTGGTCATGGGGCTTGAACTCTGGGCCTGTGCACGGTCCCTGAGGTCTTCAGCTCAAGGCGAGTGCTCTACTATTTGAGCTATAGCGCCACTTCTGGTTTTCTGGTGGTTTACTGGAGATAAGAGTTTCAGGACTTTCCTGCCTGGGTTGGTTTTGAACCATGATCCTCAGATCTCAGCCTCCTGAGTAGCTAGGATTACAGGCGTGAGCCACCGGTGCCCGGCAACAAATAAGTTGTTAATAGTCTAAGCCCTACTTGAAGAAGAAAATCTACAGAGTGACAGGGCTTAAGAAAGTAGGACAAGTCATAAGGACCTAAGGGTAGTCTCCAGAATATGAGAATAGTTTCCAGCTGGCAGATAGCAAGAAAATGGGGACTTTAAATCACAAGGAACTGAGTTTTGCCAACAGCCTAAATGACCTTGAGAAGACCGGAAGAAGAAATTCCTAGTTTGTCTGATACCTTGACTTCAACCTCATAAGACTGTAGGAAGAGGACTTAACTAATCCAAAAAGGATTAGTAATCTACAGAAACTGTGAGACAAAAAATGGATACCGTTTCAAGAAGCTATATTTGTGATAACTTGTTATATAAAAACAGAACACTAGCCATCATGATTGCTTATGCCTTCAATCCTAGCCACTTGGCAGGCTTAGATTAGGAAGATGGAATTTCAAGGCCAGCTGAGGCAAAAAGTCTGAGACTCAGCTGGGCGCCGGTAGCTCACACCTGTAATCCTAGCTACTCAGGAAGCTGAGATCTGAGGATCATGGTTCAAAGCCAGCCTGGGCAGGAAAGTCCATGAGACTTTCCACCAGAAAACCAGAATGTGGCTCAAGTGGTAGAGCTCTCACCTTGAGCTGAAAAGCTGAGGGACAGCACGTAGGCCCAGAGTTCAAGTCCCACAACTGACCAAAAAACAAAAAAAGGTTTGAGACTTCATCTAAACAGAAAAATCTGAGCATGGTGGTGTGCTTTTTCAAGTGGTAGAGCAATTGTCTAGCAAGTTCAAGTCTCTAAATTCAAACACTAGGACTACAACAAATAAACAGCCCCAGAATACTATTCATCTAGTACTAAAAAAATTTTTGATTTCTATTGCAACTTCTTGGCACAGAATTTCTAAAAATTTATTTTTTGGTGCTGCTACTGGGGCTTGAACTGAGGGTTAGGGTGCTGTCTCTTAATTTTTAGCTCAATGCTTCACTGTAACACTTGACACTGGATCTATAGCTCCACTTCCAGGGTTTTGGGGGTTAAATGGAGTCATACATACTTTTCTGCTTCGACTGGCACTGTGATCCTCAGATCTCAGCCTCCTTAGTAACTAGGATAATGGGTGTGAGTCACCAGCACTTGGCTCAATTTTTTTTTTTTTGGGGGGTTGGTTGTGGGGCTTCAACTCTGGGCCTGGGCATTGTCTCTCAGCTTTTCAGCTCAAGGTAAGCACTCTACCACTTGAGCCACAGCGCTACTTTCAGTTTTCTGGTGGTTTACTGGAGATAAGAATCTCACGAACTTTCCTGCCTGGGCTGGCTTTGAACCCTGATCCTCAGATCTTAGCCTCCTGAGTAGCTTAGGATTACAGGCAGGAGTACCCAGCTTCAAAAAGAATTTTTAATAATAAAAATACAATGAATATGACATTGTCATAAGAGTACATTTTAGTATATGAAATGTTTTGTTTATAACTTTCGTTTCTCCTTAATTCTCTAATATAGAATGCTACTAATAAATATAAATATTTCCCCAAGATTCAATAACCACTTCAGAAGTCTCAAAGTACTCAGGAAAACTTTACCACTTTACCAACTTTAATTAGCTCATTATTAAGTACATAGCTAAGAAATAACCAATAAAATATGAGACAGGGAGAAGTACATGGAGCTTCCATGCCCTCTCAGCAAGACACCCAACCTTCCAGCAAGCACATCAGTTCAAATTTGAAGCTCTCTGAATCTAGTTCAAAAGGTGTTTTCTGTTGTTGTAGTTAGTTTTGGGTGGTGCTGAGATTTGATACAAGGCCTCACACTTATTAGGGAGGCACTCCACCACTTGAACCATACTTTGAGACCTGTTCAGGAGTTTTTTGTAGAAATCTTCTTCTCTCTTTGCTCCAGGGGTGCAGAAAAGGGCTAAACTTCTCAACCCCTAAAAACTGGAGTTTTCTCATGAACAGCCTCTTCCCAAAGTTATTTAAGGACTACCTTAAGACATTGCATGAGCATAAACTGAAGTTGACTGAATCGGGTTTTTTTTTTTTTTTTTTTTTTGCCAGTCATGAGGCCTGAACTCTGGGCCTGGACACTGTCCCTCAGCTCTTCAGCTCAAGGCTAGCACTCTACCACTTGAGCCACAGCACCACTTCTGGCCTTTTCTGCTTATGTAGTGCTGAGGAATTGAACCTAGGGCCTCATGCATGCGAGGCAAGCACTCTACCACTGAGCTACCTTCCCAGCCCTGAACTGGGTTTCTTAACAAAAATAAAAACACATTCCTGACATTCAGGAAATTCTGAAAGTATTAGGAGCTGAGTGCTCTCAATCTCCAAGTAACTACCAAAAAGCTGGATGGTATGGCTTAAGTGGTAGAGCACAAGCCTTAAATAAAAAATGTAAGGGATAGCAGATAGCCCTCAGTCCAAGCTCCAATATAGGCATGCACACACACATACAAAATCATGCTTGGCTCTGGTGGCTCACACCTGTAATCCTAACTACTCAGAATGCTGAGATCTGAGGATTGAGGTTCAAAGCCAGCAGGGCAGGAAAGTCCCTAAGATTTTTATTTCCAATTAGCTTCCAGAAAAACCAGAAGCTGTGCTGTGGCTCAAAGTGGTGGAGATGTAGCCTTGAGGGAAAAAAAAATCTCAGGGACAGAGCCCAGGCCCTGAGTTCAAGCCCCATGACTGATTTAAAAAAAAAAAAAATCAAAATTATTTGAACCCAAAAAGTATTAGAGAAGAAACCCGGCTTTCTGCCAAAGATAAACCATATGCAAGGAGCAAAACGGGAGACTAAGACAAACTATCTTTCCTCTACCACAGCTAAGGCAGCTGATAATATCTCCTTCCCACTAAAAAGCATACAAAGGTCTCCTGACCTTTGTACACTGAATGGATCGATGATGGTCAGTCTAAATAGAAAAGTGTCCATGTTTTGGAAAGGAATACAAATAGCCAGAGAGTCCAAACAAAATTCAAGAAGATATGGAATAAGCTCTAAGGAAAGAATTCATTTTGTACACAGAAACCAACAAGAATACATACCACTTGATCACTCACTGGCCTCATCATTCGGGCCAGGACATTCAGTAAGTCTTGTCTCTTGAGGAACTGCAAAATGAAAAGACATGAGTTAATTTAGTTGCAAGTTCTACTTATTAAAAAGAAAAGGCCCTGGAGGAGATATCACATGCTTCATCAAAGATCCTCAACAATAACTTGTCAGCAGTATTTTAGACTTCATTTTAAAATCAAACAGGAAGGAGTAAGGCATTGAATTTAGGTGAGGAATCACATCTGGAAAGAAATCAAGGAAGACATACATTGAATCAAGGAAGACTACTTACCCTCAACTGGATAAGCATGCCCTCACAGCACACTCGACCTGAACACCATAGGTTATAAATGTGCTCATTCTCTTGGTTCAACTTTCCTGTACTTGTGGCTTCTTTATTAGTTCCATCATCACCTAGAAGTGAAACCAGTTAATGTGACTTACTGAGAATTTGGGGACCTAATCATCTACTACACCTTCTTCTGTTCTGATCCGCTGTCACATATTCACCTGCCCACCAGGCAGTTGAACACATACTGGCCTAACTTACCTACTAAGGTAAAGTTGCTCTCCAATAGCTCTCTATGAGTATTAAACCAGGCCTGGGCAAGGCGGCTGTTTTTATTCTTTCCAATGATGTAGTTCATGATATAAGCAAGCAGACCAGTCACCATCAAAATTTCTAGATAATAACTTTCCCAACTGTTCTGAAGGTGTGCAGGAACCTAAAAAAGCAACATTATTCCATTTAATGTTGGCTGAGGCTGAATGATTGAGTCTAATGAAAAAAATGAGAAAACTGAAAGTGGATACTTTATATAACTGTCACTGGATATGGTTAATACTTCGTCTTATGTATTAAACTGATATATTCTTATTCTGAGTCCCACCCCAAATATGTCCAATGTTATCTGCTTATTTTTTGATTAATTAAAACTAGAAGGGCTAGAATAAAACATTGAAGTTGCTTCTCTAGGTGTGGATGTTTTTCATGAGAATTAATGCCTAGGCTGGGAAGGTGGCTCAGTGACAAAGTGAGTGCTTGCCTTGCATGCATGAGGCCCTGGATTCGATTCCTCAGTACCACATACACAGAAAAAGCCGGATGCTGTGGCTCAAGTGGTAGAGCACTTGTATTGAGCTGAAGAGCTCAGGGACAGTGCCCAGGCCCAGAGTTCAAGCTCCACGACTGACTAAAAAAAAAAATTAATGCCTAGTTTAGGGGAGTTTTTTCTTCCTAATTTACACTATCACATCAACATCAGCCATATGGTAGCAACTGTATTTGAGATTAATGACTGCAAGGTATTTTGTTGGTTAGTTTGGAGTTCAGAATTCTATATACATACATCAACAATTGTTATTGGGTCTTTATTTTTGCTAGAAGTAGTATCTGGTTTATCTTCATAACCTTCAAATTCTTCATCATCATATGGCTCACTCTCCGAATCTCCCTCCTACAAAAATGAAGTATAATTTGTTTTCCTCAACAAATAACACAAGTAGTTGTCTCATCTTATGGCTACATGTAGAAGAAAACAGAACTTGCAAGCCCCAAGTACAGAACACAAAATTATTACTTATTTTTAATAAAATATCAAAGGGTCAAAACTTCCAATTCTAAGATGAATATGCTCAGGAGACCTGATAATGTGCAGTACAAATAGTGAGGACTAATAAAATATTGTATATTAGAAATTTGCTAAGAGAATAGACCTTAAGTATTCTTGCTACACATACAAAAAAAAAAAAAAAAAGGGACTGGGAAGGTGGCTCAGTGGTAGAGCGCTTGCCTTGCATGCGTGAGGCCCTGGATTCGATTCCTCAGCATCACATAAACAAAAAGAAAAAAAGCCGGAAGTGGTACTGTGGCTCAAGTGGTAGAGTGCTAGCCTTGAGCTGAAGGAGGGAGAGCACCCAGGCCCAGAGTTCAGGCCTCACGACGTAACACACACACACACACACACACACACACACACACACACACACACACACACACACACACACACACACACACACACACACACACACACACACACACACACACACACACACACACACACACACACACACAGTTTAATATGCTAATTAGCTTGATCATGGTAGTCACTTCACAATGCATAAATATATTAAAACATTATGCTTCTGACCTTATCTAAAAAAAAAAACAAAAAAAACAGAAACAGTTCTTGTTACTTTATTTATTTACTTACTTATTTGCCAGTCCTTGGGCATTGTCCCTGAACTTCTTATGCTTAAAGCTAGTACTCTTGGGCCAGAGCAACACTTCCAGCTTTTTCTATTCATGTTGTACTATGAAATTGAACTCAGGGCTTCATACATGTTAGGCAAGCACTCAGTCACTAAGTCACATTTCAAGCCTGTCACTTATACTTCAATAAAGCTGAGACAAAACCTCAAAACACTAAAAGGATGACTCACCATACTTTTCAACCCAAAGTCCTAAATGACACAATTTTATACACACATATATAATCTATTCCCTCCTTCCAGGAATGCTACCGGACAAACATACAATTCTTCACTTTATTAATGCAAAAGATGGGAACATACCACTAAACAGTCATAAGAGTGCTACTTACTATACAAACATGAAGATTCTAGAGGAAGTAAAGATCTATTAACTGAGTCATACTTCTAATATTTTGGGGAAATTGCTAATCACAAATTTTCCCATCCTTTAAATCTCTCAAGATTTATCTCTCAATAAGAAAAGAACTCTACCTGGGTATCTGCATCCTCAAAATCACCTTCTTGGTTTTCATCCTGTCCTTCCAACTCCACAGTGGTCTCATCTTCATCATCTTCAGTGTTTATCACCCTCTGAGGAGATTCTGTGACAGAATCTTCCATGACATCCTCAAATTCAGCGAAGTCATTATCATCATATTCTACTATGTCTTCCTCATCCTCAAAATCATCAAACTTGGCTTCAGAGACACTCCCAAACACCAAAAGGGCAATACAGAAAATATGGACAGCTTTCATTGCACCTTAAAAATAAGCTTTAAAAAAAAAACAAGAGAACCCTAAAATGAACTGCCATTCTACACGTTTTGTAAATATTTAAAACCCTCATACTTTTACTTAATGTTTATAGATTCAGATGATATCAAATAAAAACAATCAAGTGAGATCAAGAGGTTTGGGGACAAATTCAGAGCATGTATGAATTACTTAAACTAGGCTTGAATTTAGTGCTTCCAGCTCTTGGCTTTTCACTCAAGGTTGGCACTCCACCACTTGAGCCAAACTTTCTCTTCTGGCTTTGTTTGAAAATTGGGAATAAGAATCTCTTATTTGTCTGTCCATGCTGGCTTTTTGTTTGTTTGTTTGCCAGCCCTGGGGCTTGAACTCAGGTTCTGGGCATTGTCCCTGAGCTGCTTTTGTTCAAGGCTAGCACTCTATCACTTTGAGCCACAGTGTCACTTCCTATTTTTTTTTGTTTATATGGTACTGAGGAATCCAACCCACAGCTTCATGCAGGTTAGGCAAGTTCTTTACCACTAAGCCACATTCTCAAACCCCAATGCTGCTGGTTCTGAACCACGATCCTCACATCTCAGCCTAAGTAGCTAGGGAGACAGGTGTGTGCCTCCAGTTCCTGACTCATTCATTATCTATCTATAAAATCTTGAACAAGTCTTTTTTTTTTTTTTTGGGTCCAATCGTGGGGCCTGAACTCTAGGCCTGGGTGCTGTCCCTCAGCTCTTTAGCTCAAGGCTAGTGCTCTACCACTTGAGCCACAGCGCCACTTCCAGCTTTTTTCTTTTTGCTTATGTGGTGCTGAGGAATCGAACCCAGGGCCTCATGCATGCAAGGCAAGCGCTCTACCACTGAGCCATCTTCTCAGCCCCTTGAACAAGTCATTTTAATTTGTTTAGGTTGAGTTCTCTAAAATTCTCCTTCCATTTACACTGATTATTCCATAAGTATTTTTACTTCTTTTCAGCAAGTATTTGTAAGTGCCTAATGGAACTGAAAAAGTGGTATAACAGGGGACAAAAGGCAACTTTTTTTTTTTTTGTATAAGGGGTTATAAAAATAATTCATGAGGGCTGGGAAGGAGGCTCAGTGGTAGAGCGCTTGCCTTGTATGCATGAGGCCCTGGGTTCGATTCCTCAGCACCACATAAGCAAAAGGAAAAAAAAAGCCGGAAGTGGCGCTGTGGCTCAAGTGGTAGAGCGCTGGCCTTGAGCTGAAGAGCTGAGGGACAGCGCCCAGGCCCAGAGTTCAGGCCGCAGGACCGGACCCAAAAACAATAAAAATAATAAAATAAAATAAAATAATTCATGAGGGGCTGGAAAGGTGGCTCAGTGGTAGAGTGCTTGCCTTGCATGCTTGAGGCCTTGGGTTCCATTCCTCAGCACCACATAAGCAGAAAAAGCCAGAACTGGCACTGTGGCTCAAGTGGTAGGGTGCTACCCTTGAACTGAAGAGCTGAGGGACAGCACCCAGCCCCCGAGTTCAAATCCACGACCAAAAAAAAAAAAATTCATGAACAAAAAAGCCATTCAGAGCTAGGGATGTAACTCAGAACTCTCATATAGCATTTGCCTGACATGTACAGGGGTCTTGCTTTGATACCCAGAAGAAAAAAGTCTATTCATACTTAGACTGGGGGGGGGGGGGGAGAGGGGGATGTGCGTGTGCACATGCAAGCGTAAGTATACCCAACAGGCTGGGATGTATATGTGTGTGTCCCTTGCATCTACATACTTTCCCATATATTATTATCAACATCAAAAGGATGAACACTTAAAACATAGATAAGGAAAATGAGGCCCAGGGATGCAATGTAATTATCAAGGGACAGAATTGAGATTTGACCCCAGGTTTTTCCTTCAGAAGCCTGCTTTCAGCCATTTCTTTGACAGCTTCTCAAATATAAGCTGGTGGCTGTAGCTTTGTATTAAAGTAGTAATCTTCTACTAACGAACTGTTTCTAGAACATGATGGAACTCTATCAGTATTTCACAACTTCCCAAGAACACTAGCTATACCAACATTTGAGTAAGTTTGTGAACAAACATAATGAAACCATACCTGTGAGAAAACTATACAGTTACTTAGAATAATGTATCACTTCACATATATACACAAAAATTTTAGCCATCAAAATCATTTAGGTTACATTTTCAGTTATGTTCTCACATCCAAACTCCTCCCTTCATTATCAGTTACCTAAAAAAATAAAATAAAGGGCTGGGAAGGTGGCTCAGTGGTAGAGCGCTTGCCTTGCATGCCTGAGGCCCTGGGTTCCATTCCTCAGCACCACATAAGCAAAAAGAAAAAAGCCAGAAGTGGCACTGTGGCTCAAGTGGTAGAGTGCTAGCCTTGAGCTGAAGAGCTGAGGGACAGCGCCCAGGCCCAGAGTTCAGGCCCCACGATCGGACCAAAAAAAAAAACCAAAAAACCATATAAAATAAAAACTGTCCATTTTGATGCCTTATAATTTATCTTTTTCTTTTTGTTGGTGGAGGGGCTTGAGCTCTGGACCTGGGCGCGGTCCCTCAGCTCTTCAGCTCAAGGTGAGCACTCTACCATTAGAGCCATAGCTCTATTTCCGGAGTAGTTTATTGGAGATCAGAGTCTCATGACTTTTCTGCAAGGGCTGGCTTTGAAACATGATCCTCAGATCTCAGCCTCCAGAGTAGCTAGGATTACAGGTGAGCCACCAGCACTCCGATTATCTTTTTCTTTTGTTTAGCACCAGCACTAGGATTATTTTTTTCTTTTGTTTAGCACTCTAACACTTGAGTCACAGCACCACTTAGGAGCTTTTCAGGTAGTTAACTGGAGATAAGAATCTCCCAGCTTTTCTGGTCACAGCTGGCTTTGAACTGTTATCTTCAGATCTCAGCTTCCCAACTAGCTAGGATTACAGGTGTGAGGCACTGGTGCCCAGCAACAAAATGCAATTTCTGATACAATGTTGCACAAGAATTTAGCTTGAAAGACATGTACTACAGCTTTACTTTAGATATATACAAACAATAAATATACTTTGTCAATAAATTGTTAAAAGTGAAGTTAGAATGCTGTTTGAGAAACAAATGGACATAAAAAAAAAAAAGGCTTTATGCCAGGAAGCTGAGATCTGAGGATCACTTTTGAAGCCAGCCCAGGCAGGAAAGTCCAGCAAACTCTTATCTCCAATAAGCCACTTAAAAACCAGAAGTAGCCCTGTGGCTCAAGTAGTAGAGCACTAGCCTTGAGCAAAAGAAGCTCAGGGAGAGGCTGGGAGGGTGGCTCAGTGGTAGAGTGCTTGCCTTGCATGCATGAGGCCCTGGGTTTGATTCCTCAGCACCACATAAGCAGAAAAAGCTGGAAGTGGTGCTGTGGCTCAAGTGGTAGAGCGCTAGCCTGGAGCCGAAGAGCTGTGGGACAGTGCCAGGCCCAGAGTTCAGGCCCCATGACCAAAAAAACAATTGAAAAAAAAAAAAAGCTCAGGGCCTGTGCCCAGGCCCCAGGACTGGGGGGAGTTGGGGTGGAAGCCTTATAAGAACATACATCTACATATAAATAATTAACACATATATACGTATTTTTTTCCTAAAGTTTTTACGGTATACTTTTGTAATTACAACAACTTTAAGCTGGGCTGGCTCATGTCTGCATCCTAGCTACTCAAGAGGCTGAGATCTGAGGATGCTGGTTAGAAGCCAGCCCAGACAGAAAATTCCAAGACACTTTTAGTTAACTACAAGAAAGTAGGAAGTAGAGACATGGCTCAAGTGGTAGTGTACTAGCCTTGAGCATAAAAGCTCCCGGACTGAGCCCAGGCTCTGAGTTCAAGCACTAGGACAGGCGCAGGCGCGCGCGCGCGCACGCACACACACATACACACACACACATACACACACACGCGCGCACACACACGCACACACACATACATACACACACACACGCGCACACACACACATACACACACAAATCTTAAAAATAAATAAAACTTTGGTTCCTATATCAAAGAGGTAGGTTTGAAACAACACATTTCAGTCTGAAATACCAAAGTAGGGGAAATGGAGCTAGAAAGACCAGCACAGGCAAGATCACTATGTAAATATCAAATCAAGAAGTTTGGATAGCTAGAAGAAACGAGGATTTTAAATAAGAGAATTAAAGCAGGGTGAGGTAGCTTAAGCCTATATAATCTTAGCTAATTGGGATGCAGATTTCCATTAGCCAGGGGAAAAGAAGTTTTGAAAACTCCATCTCAACCAATGTCTGGGCACAGCAGCTAATGCTGGTCATCTTTAGAGACTCAGGGAAGCATAAGTAGGAGTATCTTAGCCTAGGCTGACCTGGGCATAAATGGAGACTTTGCTTTAAAATAACCAATTGAACTGTAAACTCCCTGTTCATCACCTTTACAATAAATTTTAAAAGGGACCAGAGGCATGGCTAGAGTGGTAGAGTATTTGCCTAGCATGCTTAAGGTCCTGAGTTTAATCCTCACTACCACCAAAAAAATATTTAAAGATAAGCAAAGTGAAAAATAGAGGAGAAAACAAATTAGATTTAATATTTACTTATAAGTTTAGGGATGTGTGCTTCAAGTGCTACATCACAGAATCTTTCAATGTCCCTAAAAGGTGTTATAACATACTTTATATAGAGAGAAATAAAGTAATTAGAAATCGAAGTGAAGACTAGGTTTGGGTTGGAGAGAAATGGTATGGAAATGGACAAGACCACCCAGGAAGTATTAAAGGGGCAGAGGATTGGAGGTGTGGCTCAAGTAGAGTGCATTCCTAACGAAAACAATGCCCCGCATTCACACCGCTCCCAAAAAAACTAGAGAGAAAAGAAGAGAGGTCCAAAACACAATCTTGAAACAGATGGTAACAGCCATGAGGTGGGCACAAATCTCTGGCAGCACCCATCACATATAGGACTCAGTAAACATTGGTTCTATTCCTTCTGCTGTGCCTGATGAACATCCTCTAAAGAGTTTTGTTTTTTTAATTGTTTTAGTGCAGACTTTTTCAGGACCTAGGTTTAAGCCTTCTCAAGGAGAAGTAATTTCTTGCTAACCTTAACTTCATTTAAGGAGTGCTAAAAGGTCTGGTCATTTCAAGCAGTTTCTACTTGGAATGTTCATCCAATAAATGAATTTCTAACACAACTCAGCACTAATCACGCTCCTTTCAAGGTTAATTAGGTTAAAATTATCCAAGCCATTTATGCATTGGCTTCCACTTATAAATCTCTGCTGCACCTGTCAACCCACTTCTCAAATGCACAAATCCCTGTCAGGTCCCAAGGCCTCGGTTAAGATTCCTGAAATGGGAAACGGGAACACAGAACCAAGGTGGGGCCCCAACACTAACATGTCTGATCTGAGTACCTGCTGCAAGCTCGCCCAGTAATGTCTCAACCACTGACTTGGGACTTAAAAGGTTAAGTAGAGCAATCATTCCTTGTCGTTTGGCATTAGGCGTTTAAGACACGAAGCTGTCTAGAAATCACGCAGACATTTCTCTGTCCCCTAACAAGAATTGATTAAAAACGTTATTTTACGTTAGGAACCAGCAGGGAAGGCTAACTACAAGAAGTAGTTGGCTGTATCAAAACATCACCAGGGAGACATCCGTTCATCTGATTGTCTACGCTTCATTCTTTCCGTTCACCTTGGAAATTTCCTCCAACTCTAACCCGGTTGCCATTCACTCACAGCTCTGCAGAGATCCCGAAAACCACTAAAATCACACCAACCTTAGGAAGGCAAAAAAAAAAAAAAAAAAAAAGACCAGTAAAGAGTGAACAGGGAGTCTTTTTTCTGTTCGTTTTGCTTTTTGAAGTTGGGAAGAGAAGTCGTTGCAATCGAAGTATGTCTCCACCCACCGGACTTAAGGGTCAGCCGGGCAAGCAATGGGACCCGGCGATAGGCCACACAACTGAAGTCATCGCCCGGCCTGGCCCGGCCCCTCTGACTAAGGAGTCAGGGTTTCCCTACTTACCTAAGCCCGAGGCTACAAGCTGGCTCGGCGCTCTCGCCGCGGCCACCTCCACCCAGCCAGGCCACCGCCTTCACGGTCGCCAAGGTTTTAAGGGCCGCGACGCTTCTGGAGACACAGCCGGAGCAGGTAGCTCAGTCACGCCGCCCCACTCTTCACGTAGCCTCCGTCGTCCGTTACGTAGAATGCGTGCGGCTCCGTCCGCGCCTGCGCACGAAGCGTGTGTGTGTGTGTGTGTGTGTGTGTGTTTGGGGGGGGGGGGGGGAAGTAGTTTCTGAGATAGCGCGAGACCTCCTTCTGCCCCGCCCAGTTGATGCAAGAAGAGGCTGCCGGGAAAATGACATAATCCCCGCCCCTGGGCCAGAGTGTGATATCCTATGTTAGCCTCCCGTAGAGATCCGTCAGGTTGTCGTCACACTGAACTGGTGCTCCGGAAGCTATAAGTGGCCATGCTCTATGCGACCATGTGGACAGAGACATAAGGTCGATTTGCACGGAGAGTCGACATTTTTATGGAAATGTAGTTCTTGGCGAACCGCTTTTCTCTTGGACGGCTACCTGTCAGCTCACTCAGTTCTCATCCTACAGGAGGCCAGAAGCGGGTTTCCTTCAGGGAGGGATTCCGGATTTTTAAAGGCGGGCATTAGCGAGGCCTTCCGGGAACCTTACCCCCGCCCCTACTCTAGGCTCCGCCCCTCGGCCCGAGATTTCCTCACTGCGCATGTCAGACGCGCTTTTTCCTCCCCCCCCCCCCCCTCCCCCAGTCAGCAACGGGCTGTGAGGCGGCGGTGGTAGCAGCGGCGGCGGCGGCAGCGAAAGGGGCGGAGAAGAAGGAGCACGGCGGGAGAAGGCCTGAGCCGCGCGTATTTGGGGGCCGTGGCATTCTCACCGCGCCAGTGGTAGTGGCAGCTACCGCTGCATCTGTAGCAGCAGGTTTGTGTGAAGGTGATGTGTAGACGCGGGGCCGCTAGCCCTTGGGGGCACTAGAGGTAACTGTGGGGCCTAGCGAGGGCCGAGGAACCTCGGTCTCGCTTAACAAAGAGTCGGAGAAGCCTCCGGGCCCAGGGAATCGGGAGTGGGACGGAAGTGTAGTCTGAAGCCTCGAGGGATGCTTCAGATCGGCGTCGCCCACCCACGGCTCCCCCCCCCCCCCCTCCCCGCTAGCCTTAGCGAGACCCACTTGGCTGCTTTCCCGAGGCGGCGCCTTGCTGAGCTGGGGGAAAGAATTTGCGGGACGTCGGGTTTGGAGGCAGGGACGGCCACCAGGAGGATTCTGACCCAAGTGGGCAATAGTTGGTAGTACATGTTGACAAATCAGAAGACTATAAAAAGACCATGATCTTTATAAAACCGTGAGTAGATCCCTGATTATCATCACCATAGTTACAAACTTTTTTTTTTTTTTTTGCGGCCTTCTTGAGAATCTGATACGAGCAAATAATTTATATGGATTACAAGTGCACGTTCTAAAAACTTAAGGAAAGGCTGTCATTTTGGTCAGAAAGCTCTCTTATCATTTACCTGAGCTTTCTCTCTTTGCCCTCCCTCTTTTAGGCTACCAGGCAGTAGTTTATGGCTTCCCTGTATGTTACTTTGGTAAAGGGTATTTCTGTGTCCTCCCTCATATTCAGATTCTAACAGACAGGGACTAGATCTTAACTTACTGTAAATTTATTAGAGCTCAGTCCAGTTCTGGGAGGTAAGAATTGAGCAGTAAGTATTTAGTTCAAAACATTCTTTTTAAGACTTTCAGCAGTGAAAAAAAGGTGTTTTCCTGTAACTCGAAACAGCACTATATAACCTAATGCATCCAAAAAGTATGTTTATTGATGTCTACTGTGTGCTTATTCCCTAGCACTGTTTTATTTAGGTATATATCTAGGATAAGTGTCTGGCTGTCCTGTGCCTTCATAAAACTTAACTCTGTAAAGCGAGGTAGAGAGACAGATGTATATTGTTAGGTGCCTAAAGGGAGAAAAAAAAAATAAATTGGAAAGGAGGATCAGATGATGTTGCAATTTGCAATAGAGTGGTAAAGGAAGTCATTTTAGACAAGCTGATACTTAGACTGGAAGGAGGTGAGGAGGGACTGAGCCCTGGAAGCATGGAAGAGAGGAATGTTTCAAGCAAGCAAAAAGACCTTGAAGAGAACAAAAATGTTACAATAGGGGACCAATGTGCTTGGAGCAGAAGCAAAGGAGGACATACATAGTAGCAGATAAGATGAGGGAAGAAGAGAGATGAAGTGGTCAGCATTTAGGACACCTTTTATGCTATTATGAAGGTTTCAACTTCAAGATGTAAAAGATGAGAACCATTTGAACAGAGGGATGATAAATTTTGACTTATATTGTAATAATGTAGTGTAATTCATGGAGGAATATGGTTCTTCAGATTTGTGTTGTTACATTCATAGTTATCAGCTCTTAGTTCCAGTCAACTAACAGGAAATGATACTTCTAACATTACCAGCAATTATTTATATTGTTTTTGGTTTTAAAGATACTGTTTATTTATTTATTTTTGTTCTGGTCCTGGGGCTTGAACTCGGGGGCCTGGGCACTGTCTTGGCATTTTCTGCTTAAGGCTAGTGCTCTTAACACTTTAACCACAGCTCACTTCCAGCTTTTTAGTGGTTAATTGAAGATAAGAGTCTCACAGACTTTCCTGCCCAGGCTGACTGAACCAGATTACAGGCATGAGCCATCAGTGCCTGGTTCTTTTTGCCACACTATTTTCTTCTTTCTTTCTTTTTATTTGTGCTAGTAGTGGAGCTTGAACTCAGGGCCTCACACTCTTAGTTGACTTTTTCTTTTTTTTTTTTTTTTTGGGTCCGGTCGTGGGGCCTGAACTCTGGGCCTGGGCGCTGTCCCTCAGCTCTTCAGCTGTAGACTAGCGCTCTACCACTTGAGCCTCAGTCCCACTTCCAGCTTTTTCTGCTTATGTGGTGCTGAGGAATGGAACCTAGGTCCTCATGCATGCAAGGCAAGCACTCTACCACTGAGTCACCTTCCCAGCCCCCTAGTTGACTTTTTTGCTCAAGGCTGGGACTCTCCATACTTCTGCTTCTGGCTTTTTTTTTTTGACTGTCATAGGGCTTGAACTCTGGGCCTGGGTGCTGTCAGCTCAAGGCTCTACTACTTCAGCCACAGTACCACAGTGACAGTTTTCTGGTGGTTAATTGGATATGAGTCTCACAGACTTTTCTGCCCAGGCTGGCTTTGAACCACAGTCCTCAGATCTCAGCCACCTGAGTAGCTAGGATTATAGGCTTGAGTCACCAACACCCACCTTGCATCTGGCTTTTTGGTGGTAATTGGAAATAAGTGTTTTATGGCTGGCTTTGAATTGTCATCCTCAGATCTCAGCCTCTTTCGTGGGTAGGATTATGGGTATGAGCTACAAATGCTCGGCGTCACTATTATTTTAGGTTCATTGTCTACATGTATATCACACAATTTTTCCAGCACAACAGAAATTTTTGGAATAGTAGAGTTGTGTGGGTTGTTACCTGTCAAATGTCAAGTCACATTCACCTCAGAGAGAGGCCTTCAGTAGCTTCTTATATGCTTGATTTCCTTTCACAGCACTTTTCTACCTGAAATTAAATGCTTTGATTGTTGTTGTTGTTTTCTCCTCTGACCATATTGTAGCCTGAAGGTTGTTATACTCCCTGAAGGCCATGTCTGATTCCATTACTATATCCTTAGAGCCAAGAACAGTCTCTTAACACAAAATAAGAACCCAGTTTAATTAGTGATCGCTGTAGTAGTTATATGGAGGTTAGATAACTTATTAGGAAAATTATCATGGTAGTAGAGATGAAGATGGGAAGAAGAGTATATGTGAGAGACAACTCTCATAGTACTTGACCTTCAACAGAAGAAACTGGCTATTTGTCAATACGAAACAATGGATGTTATTAAAATTCCAATTATTCTCTTTAAAGCAACTGCTCATTAAAATTTATGGTTCTATATTATAGCTAATTCTTTATAAATTAAGTATATATTTATTGGTGGTACTGGAGATTGAATTAAAGCCTCACACTTGCTACGCAGCGCTCTACCACTTTAATCATGCCCTCAGTTGAGTGCTACTTTTTAAAGAATTATTATTGGGGTTAGAGGCATGGCTCAGTTGGTAGAATACCAGCCAATGAGCAAAATGGCAGGTATTTGAAACAAAAAAAGAAAATTATTTGCAGTTTTGGGGACCAAATCAAGAGCCTGCACAGTTGTGCAAGTATCCATCACTGATCTACATCCTCAGCCCTTAAAAAAGGAATCCTAAGAGAATAAAAGACCTGATTTTCCTGTGCTTGCATTTCAGAGTAGATTGAGGCCTAGGTAGACATTGTTGCTCTCATAAATTAAATAAAATATCCATCTAAAAATTATATTCAAATAGAATTTTGATTTTTACGTTTTGTAGCCTTTTTTTAATTATAAAACATGCTCGGTAAAATATTAACCATTTTCAAGTATACAGCCAGTGGTATTAAGCATATATATACACTGTTTTCCTATTATCATTATTATCTAGCCATAGAACTGGTAAAACTGAAACTCTACCTATTAAATAATATCAACCCATTAACACTTCTAGCCCCTAGCAATCACTGTTCTACCAGTTTACTTTCTGTCTTTAAATCCAGCTACTGAAGATCCCTCGTATAAGTGGAATCGTATAATTTGTCCTTTTGTAACTGGCTTACTTCACTAAAAGCATAATGTCCTCAAGGATCATCCATGTTGTAGCATGTTAGGATTTTCTTTTTCCTTGGGACTAACCCAGTACTTTACATATCTTAGATATAGGCACTTGGCTATATCTCTCCCCTAACCCCCCACTTTTTTTTTTGTCTGTCATGAGGCTTGAACGCTGGGCTTCAGTACTGTCCCTGCACTCTTCAGCTCAAGGTGAGCGCTCTACCGCTTGAGCAACAGGGCCACTTCCAATTTTCTAGTGGTTTTATTGGAGATAAGTCTCACAGACTTTGCTGCCAGGGCTGGCTTTGAACCATGATCCTCAGATCTCAGTCTCCTGAGTAGCTAGGATTACAAGTGTGAGCCACCAGCGCCCGCCCCTCTCCCCTTTTTAAACTAAAATTCCATTATATGTATGTTGTATTTATTTTGTTACATGTTATACATATCTATAGCTATGTCACTCATTGTTTAGCCATTCATCTGTCAGTGTTCTTTATCTTTTGGTTATGATGATTAATGTGTGAACAATTACCTGCTCATCTACCTACTTTCACTTTTTTGGATATATATTCTGAAGTTGGATTGTTGCATTATATGGTAATTAGAAATGATTTTTTGAAAACCCACTACACTATTTTCCACATCTACTTAACTATTTTACATTCCTACCAGTATTCTAAACTGTCTGTTCATCTTGGCCATAGCTATTTTTTTTTTGTCCGGTCGTGGGGCCTGAACTCTGGGCCTGGGCGCTGTCCCTCAGCTCTTTAGCTCAAGGCAAGCACTCTGTCACTTGAGCCACAGCGCCACTTCTGGCTTTTTTCTTTTTGCTTATGTGGTGATTAACCCAGGGCCTCAGGCATGCAAGGCAAGCGCTCTACCACTGAGCCACCTTCCCAGCCCCACCAAAGCTATTTTCTGTTCTTTTGTTTCTCGCGGTAAATAGACACATCATACGTGTCTATTTATAAAATATAAATGTAGGGCTGGGAAGGTGGCTCAGTGGTAGAGCACTTGCCTTGCATGCATGAGGTGCTGGGTTCTATTACTTAACACCACATAAGCAAAAAGAAAAAAGCCGGAAGTGGCGCTGTGGCTCAAGTGGTAGAGTGCTAGCCTTGAGCTAAAGAGCTGAGGGACAGTGCCCAGGCCCAGAGTTCAGGCCCCATGACCGGACCCAAAAAAAAAACCAATATAAATGTAGCTGGGCCTCGTGGCTCAAGTCTATAATCG